GGGTCCAAGAAAGAATGTGGCTTGAACGAGCAGAGAGGACAAGTGTATAAATTGGGTTCAAGAAAAGTGTGAGTTAATATAATGTCTTCACATCAATGCTGTTCTGGGTAAGGCAGGTGGAAAGCAGAAATGGGCACAATGAGCAGCAGAAGCTCAGTTCTTCTTATATATATTGGAAGCCATTAAGGAAAATGAGAGAACTCCCTCAGGAAGCAGCTGTTGGTAGACAATGGTGTCAGCTGTCCAACCATTACTTCTGAGCCCTCCTCTTTCTACATGCTGTGTGTGCACCATATGAACTAATTTTCTGCCCTCAGCTGCCATGAAAAGACTATCCTATCATCAGCAATGTGGGAGCAAAATTCAACTGCCGGTCCAGTTTGCTTCTGCGTGTGCAAAGTGTGGGTGACCATGTTGTCTTTTGCTTCAAGCAGCAAAGTGTCTTGAGTTGGTCTTGAGACTGAGATGTGCAATATGGTTGAAGCAGAAGGCGCAACCGTGGCCAGATGGCGGAATGATTTTCATTCCTTTTGACAAAGCCTCAGAGTATGAAGTGCGAGCACATTCTTCTCTCTGCCTGGTCATGTGTGAGAAAGAAACACAGAAGTGCAAGTGGAGATGGTGAAAGGAGAACTGCCTTAACCAAGCCCTTATCCCTAGCATGTGCTTGCCATCATTAACTGCTTCTTCCCTCACTCCTGTCAAGCACAATCGGGCAAAGATTTTCCAGTTAGTGTGACATGCCAGTCCCTTTTTTTATTTCACTAGGCAGTGCCTTGAAGAGTATATTTGGGGTGGATATTGAGGAAGCAGAAATGACTGAGATCTGGTATCCCACTTCTGCTCATAAAGGGCTCTGTGCACATGCCACATATATAAATCTTCCCTTTTTTCAGCAGATCAGTTTACTCTGACTTTGCAACTCCCAGTGCTCTCTCATGGCTCATAAATCTTCCCCATGTCTTCCAGTCACTTAGTTTTCCTCTCTTGGGCTTGTTAAGGAAAAAAAAGAGTCAAGAGTGTTTGAAATGTAGGTTGGTTTCATTTTCAGAAATTGTTTCCCCGCCCTGCCCCTCAACTCACTGCCTTTGGCCTTGCCACATTTTCTTTATTTAAATTGACTTCAGAAGATCCTGAAGAGTATTTGGGGTCTGGGGAAACCAAAAAAGAACAGCTTGCTTTGGCATTTGCTGGATGTGTGGTCCCTAATTGACTCGCTTATGCAAGCAGTTGAGCCAATATAGTACAGCAGTTCTCGTCATTCAGGTCTAAGAATTGCCTCCACCCATAACAATCTGCTTAGCTTGTAAGACCATCTATAAGGGCCAAATGTTTTGCCCTCCTGGTACTGGCTCTACTGCAGTGGGCATGAAGAACAGGGCCTTTTCTGTGGTTACACTAAGGCAGCTGAACAGACTGCTAAAGATTGTGAGTTTGATATATTCGCGAAGGCTTTCACAGCTGGGATCTAATGGCTGCTGTGGGTTTTTCGGGCTCTTTGGCCGTGTTCTGAAGGTTGGTCTTCTTAACGTTTCGCCAGTCTCTGTGGCAGGCATCTTCAGAGGACAGCAGTCTGGGCTCTGGTGTAGTTGGCTTGGGAGTGGAGTATTTATGGCTGTGAGATAGGCTTTTGTCTTTTTCTGTAGATGGGTGATTAGTGTGTATTGTTGTGGGTGTATTGTTGTGCTAAGGAGAAGAGATTATCTGTTCCTGTGGTTGATGGGGGTCATTAGCTGGTCTTTTGTGAGTAGTGATCCCCTGTCCTTGTGGCTGGGGAGAGGTTGTTGACCTTTTGCCTGCTGTATTTTTGAGAGCTGGGAGCCAAGTTTTGTTGGCTCCCAGCTTTCCTTTTTTGTTGAAACTGTGCTGGTGCTTGTGGATTTCAATGGCTTCCCTGTGTAGTCTGACGTAATGATTGCTGGTGTTGTCCAGTATTTGAGTATTTTAAAATAGAATTTCATGTCCAGTTTGTTTCAGGGCATATTCAGTTACTGCAGATTTTTCTGGTTGTTTTAGTCTGCAGTGTCTCTCATGTTCTTTGATTCTGGTGTGGATGCTTCGTTTTGTGGTTCCAATTGTGAGTTTGATTTCCCTGTGCTCATTTTTATGAGGATAGCTAATACTTATCGGCCCAAACCCTGTTGTGTAGAATAGTAAATCACACTAGTATAGGCCCATTGAATCAAAAGGTAAGTCAACTCCTCCATGATCTCCATTGATTCAAATGGGCTTGCTCTAGCTAAGTTACAATTAGAGTAGGCCTATTTGAATCACTGGAACTTATGGAACAGTTAACTCAACAAATCCTCATTGATTCAGTGGGCTTACTTTAGTGAAATTTACTACATGAAACAATAGGATTTTGGCCATTGTTTTCAGCAACTATTTAATGGCTTTTTTGTTTAATTGGCATATTGATTATGCTGTTTTATACTGACTGTAACAATGACCTGCAACAAAATGTTCCAGTATGGAGTCAATTATTTGTTAAAAATTAGAAAAATATACATTTTAATTTAAATTGGATTTTTAGAATTCAAATCAGATTTTTTCATAAATGATGAAAGGCTTATTAATTCTTGCTCAGTGTAGCAAGTTGCAACTAGAGTAAGCTCACAGAATCAGTGGGGATTTAGTGAGCCGACTCCTTTGTCAGTACCATTGATTCAATGGGCCTACTCCAGTTGCAACTTACTATGCTAAGCAACAGGATTCTCTTTTTAAAAAAATAAATTAAGAAGGGGCCATCTGTTCTTTCAGTCCGGCTTCAATTTTATGTGGTTCTACAGGCTTCTATATAGTTAGACTGATCTAGAGCTCAGTCTAGCAGATAAGAGAAACATTTGTATTCCTTAAAATCAGGTTTGTGTTACCTGAGACATGCATGTTAATGACAATATACGGATATGGCTGAAACTGTTTCTGGATTTTATCTCTATGAGTCTCTGCTTGGATTTTTGTACACACACCAGTCTGGTGAGGTGGCATGATGTCAAGAAACTTCTGCTTGTTATGTTATTTGCATTCTGCAGGCATAACTATGCAACAGCATTTTGGCCAAGGAGAAACAAAAGCAATCTCCAGGATTGCTTTCAGTAGTTTCCTTGAATAATGCAGAATTTTTTAGACCAGTAATTCTAGCTATTGTCCCTCTGCAACTTTGACTAGACAAGGAAAGCCCTTCTTTCTCTGAAACTAAATGCACGCTTTGGCATGGAACAGAGATTTAATCGTACGATTCCTTTCCCTAAACAGTATCCTCCTGTGGGCTATGCCCTTATGTGAGTAGGTGGATTATGATTGGCTGACCTCTGTATCATCTCAGAAACTGTTTATAGGAAAGGAATGACCCTCAGCAGCTGAGTGTGGGAGATGTACAGCCCACTCTGGTGGGGCTCTACCCCTGGCGGGTTGAGATTCAAATATAGTGACAACAGTGGTATGGGCTATATCAAGGGAGGAGGCAGTGAAAGAGGGTGGGGGTTACAAAGGGGTGTGCGTGGATCCCAGCTTGGGGAGAAGAATGTGGCCTGTGATAAGGAGAGCGTAGTGGAGATAGAGAAGTGGAGTGATGCCTAGAACTGAGCTGTCAACCCCAGACATCTTGCAGAGCCCTCCTATTTTGGTTACACTGCCTTTGACCACCTTTGTCCTACCCCAGAACCTGGGACCCATTGGTTCAGCAGAGCATGAGGACACAGGGTATTGGAACTGCCAGATGAGAAGCCTGCTATTGGTCCCCCAGAGAAATCACCTTCAATGCCTGCTCCAACCCTGATTTCAGTCGCAAATCCAGCTACACTGCTGACAGGCAACACTAAGTGGCTGGAGAGAAGCCTAAGGGTGCAACAGGAACAGAAAAGGGGGATGTAATGACTGTAGTGCCCTGCTAGGAGATGAAGAACTGGCCCACTTCAAAGACCACCCAGGGCCCATCCTGGCACTGAGAAACAGGGGGAAAAGACCACCCGGCTGAATATGAAGAACTGCAGGAGGACAAAGGTATTTAATTGCCTAATGAAGATGATGGTTGATAGCAGACGCTGGTCTCTGGTATTCTGAGGACAAAAATGAGAGACCTTTTTGCTGTCTCCTTGCCCATATTATTTTCACAAGTTTCCTCAGTTTTCTTGTTCAGTGCACACTTTCTGACAGTGAATAGAGGAGAGCTGGAGGTATAGTGAGTTTGGGCAAGGAGATTGTGCCAAATATGAATCTCTCTCTCTCTCTCTCCCAGATTATAGGAAACCAGAAGGCATAATTAAATTGATACTTTTTGAGTAGAGATTTAAATAGTCATGTAAATAATCTGATTTAATCCAAATCCACCTTGATTCTGGTTACTCAGCCTTTTCTCTCCCTGCATTTGGTCAGTCTTCTGTGACCACTAAGCATGCCCAGACCTTCTTGGGGTCTTTGTAGAAGGGTTATCTTTTGCATGAGGTTTTCTGTTTCTGTAAACCTGGGATTCCCAAAGCCAGGGAATAATCTCTTGTATGTGGATGGCATGGCTCTTGCTACTAAGGACTCCTCAGAGGATAGGTTTGCTATATAGGATGGGTTTTATATGTGTTTTATGCAATAATTTTTATGAAATATTGTTTAATCAGCTTGTTGCCTTGAATATATACGTTCACAGGATGCACAGAAATAAATATACAGCCTAGTAGGAGGAACTAGAGTTAAAGCACTAGATGTGTTTGTCCACACATGATTTTATTACTATGTGCAGGTTCATGTCTTTTCATTTCCTGCTTGTGACATGATTAGAAAAACTTTGTTCTTTAGTTGTTAAGTCATGTCTGACTCTTCATGACCCCATGGATGAGAGACACCAGGCCCTCCTGTCTTCCACTGCCTCCCAGAGTTGGGTCAAATTCATGTTGGTCGCTTCGATGACACTGTCCACCCATCTCCTCCTCTGTCGTCCCCTTCTCCTCTTGCCTTCACTCTTTCACAACATCAAGGTCTTTTCCAGGGAGTCTTCTCTTCTCCTGAGATGGCCAAAGTATTGGAGCCTCAGCTTCAGTGTCTGTCCTTCCAGTGAGCACTCAGGGTTGATTTCCTTCACAATGGATAGGTTTGTTCTCCTTGCAGTCCAGGGGACTCTCAAGAGTCTCCTCCAGCACCACAATTCAAAAGCATCAATTCTTTGGTGGTCAGCCTTCTTTATGGTTGAGCTCTCACTTCCATACATCACTACTGGAAAAAACATATTTTTGACAATGCAGGCCTTTGTCAGCAAAGTGATGTCTCTGCTTTTTAAGATGCTGTCTAGGTTTGTCATCAC